ATCAACATGGATACCTAGACAGACTGTACGGGCAATTTTGGTATTTCTGAAGTTTTTATTGTGATACTGTGTAATTTTTTACCACGAAGTATATGTCGCTTATCATCTCATGTGTCACTTGAAAGTAATGAAAATTTTAGATGTATCTCTATACGCTGAAAGTGCTAGTTTGGTTTCCCAATGTGTGGACGATATGTCTGGGGATAAAGCAGCAGCTAACGATTGGTGGCGACTACATTGGATCCTTTACCGAACTCGTCTTTGATGTGATAGCAAAGCAGGACATGCAGTGTTTTCATGAGAACTTCACACAGTATATGTGGGCTACCATCGAACTCAGGGTAGGTTACATTATGTCAGTTAATCCGCTGCAGTCTGTAAAATAAGAGGAAATAGCGCCTTCTGAGCCTGAGTAAAAAAGCTTTTTTGTTCTCATGAAAAAATAATTTTTGCTTCGAAGCAGCACAAAACGCATATTATCAAGTTCTAGTCAGTGCGCGTGATTGTGTGTGTGTGTGTGTGTGTATATGACCGAGTGCGTTTTGCTCCGCACTTTCAATTCGGGAACCACAACAGCTAGGAAGCTAAAATCTTAGTGTGACCCCGCAGATTTAAACTCGTGCCTAGAGGTGTCACACACGGACCCGCGGGATTTTTGGTAGGGAAAATTGTTCTAGCGGGAACCACGAAAGCCAGGAAACTGAAATTTTAGGGTAATATCCCTTGATCATGTGCCATCCCATAAATTTAAATTCAGCCTTCCTGTGCACTTGGGTGCCACTTATGGCCCCATGAAGGTTTTGGCGGGGAAAATTATTATCATATTTCGTGAATCGAGAAAGCTATGAGGCTAAAATAGCAATTTTCCTTGTCCAAACGCAACCTAAAGTAAATCTAAATTCACTATTCTCGTGTGTCTGGGAACCACGCGCGCTCTATGAAAGATTTGACTGGAGAACAATTATCTCGAGAATTATGAAAGTCAGGAATCTGAAATTTCAGGACAATGCCTCCTGTTTGTGGACGACCGCACTAATTTGAATTCAGCCTTCCCATGCGCAAAGCATCACATGGTAGCCTCGTGAAAGTTTTGGGGGAAAAATTATTACCTCGAGGGTCTAAGAGCTGAAAACTTTACGAGAATGTTTTCTGTCCATGCAGGAGCCTTAGAAACTCAAATCTGGCTCTCAAGTATGTCAAGGTCTCGCGTACGAGTGCTTAAAACTTTTGCTGTGAAAGTCGCTCGAAAGCCACAAAGCAAGAAGGTTGATATTTTGGAAAATTGTTTACCGTCTAAGTTTTCAGTTAAGCTCGCATGGGCGCTTACGTATCACATACCAAAACGCGAAATTTTTACTGGAAAATTTCACAACTTAGGAACGAAACAAAATATCGATTTTTGCATAAATTAAGTAGTAAAACATTAAGGCGCATAATGGCATCAGCTACCCTGGTGCACTTCGCTATTTATTCT